ATCCATGGGTCCAACTAGATCTTAATATTATTACCATTTCCTACCTTCTAATAGACTCCTTTTGTTAGAATTTCCTTGCCCACGCAGATACTCCTCCATCCTAATGAGCAACCTCTTCTTGCCTTTGCATTAAGGAAGCTCACTTCTCAAAAATATTTGGCTTTAAGGACACGGGTGAGCAAGGAGATGGGGTTTGTTATAATTCTCCAAGCGTTTTTAGCTAGGAGGGCCTTGTTGAAGTTGTGAGGGTCTCTAAAACCCAATCCCTCAGCTCCTTTATTTTTACACGTTATCTTCCATTGAATCCAATGAATCTTCTTCTCTTGATTATTACTTCCCCACCAAAACATCCTTTGCAGTTTAGATATGGCCTTGCACACCATTCTTGGTAAGAGAAAGCAAGACATTGAATAGATGGGAAGAGACGATGCTACTGATTTCAGGAGCACTTCCTTGCCAGCTGGAGTGAGAATTTTTTCTTTCCACTCCTAAATCTTATGCGAGACCCTTTCAATTATGAATTTGAATATCTGATCTAGAATTCTAGATTTCAGTTGGCTGGCCAAGGTAATTCCCAGGATTTTTGGTTAATTTCATTCCTAGCACCCTGGCTAGAAGATGTTGGAACCTCTTCGGGGTGTTTTTACTGAAAAACACTTCTGATTTTTGATGGCTAACTTTCTGCCCAGCAGCTCTCTCATAGAGCTCAAGGCTCTCCAAAATCACCTTGGCTTCCTCTAAGTTTGCTAGGGAAAAAAACATAGCTATCGTCTGCGAAGAGCAAATGGGTAATAGTGGGGGCATAGTGGTTCACTTTGATCCCAGTTATCTTCTTTTCTCTGAGCAGTGTTGAGACTGGCTGACAGGGCTTCTGAAATTAGGATGAAGAGGAATGGTGAGAGCGGGTCACCTTGTCTCAAGCCTCTTGAAGGGGTTATCTTCTGACCAGGGGAGTCATTAACCAAAATTCTGTAGGACACTATTCTAACACATTCCATAATCCAGTTTCTCCATGTCTGTCTAAACCCCATTTTTTCCATAATTTTTTCCAAAAAATGCCACTCCACCCTATCATATGCCTTCATCAGGTCCAACTTTATGGCCATGAACTTCTTACTTGATTTTGACTTCTTCTTGGTATGTATCAATTCATGTGTGAGAAATACATTGTCTGATATTTGGTACCCTGCAATGAAGGCTGATTGGTTGGGGCTAATGATCCTATTAAGTACAGATTTCAGCCTATTTTCTAGGATCTTTACAATGATTTTGTAAGGGGTATTGCAAAGACTAGTTGGTCTATACTATGAAAGGAATTCTGGGTTCTCTATTTTTGGAATGAGTGATCAAGGTAGAGCTTAATTTTGCATCAAGTTTCCCAGTTCTAAAGAACTCTTTGATTGATCCCACCACAGAATTGCCAATTATATTCCAGTATTTCTGAAAGAAGTTAGGTAGCCCATCGGGCCCTGGAGCCTTTGAGGGAGCCATTTGGTTCAGAGCTTCTATGATTTCTTCTTCCTCTACTTCCTTCTCAAGACTAATATTATTTTCTACAGAGAGGCTGCTGCTTAAATTTTCAAGGATTACATCTATTTCTGAGCAGCCCTCATTGGAGTACAAATTATTAAAAAATGTGAACACCTTATCAGACATCTCTTCATTGTCCCTGGCCCATCTTCTATTCTCATCATAGAAACCATGAATATAATTCCTTATTCTTCTTTGAAGAGTAGTAGCATGGAAGAACTTAGTATTTTTGTCACCACTAGCTAACCAATTAACTCTAGATTTTTGTTTCTGGTGGATTTTCTCCATTAGCAAGGCCTTCTCTAAGTTTCTTTCTAGCTCCTTTATTTTGTGGGTGTCATTTGCTATCCTTCTTTCTACTTGGCCCCTGATTAGCTCTTCCTTTGCTTTTTGGACATTCCCAAAGACTTTCTTGTTCCAATTTCTCATTGTGGACCCAATGTTCTTCACGTTTTTAATTAAATTTTCCATGGGTGTCTCCACTAAGTCCTCCTTCCACGAGTTTCCTATAACATTTTTGCAGTCCTCATGATGGCTCCAAATTTTCTTCAAATCTAAAGGGTCTTGGTCTCCAATTTAGATTGTTACTAGTGTTCAAGAGGACAAGGGAATGATCAGATCTGGCTCTTAGCAGGTGAGAGAGAATAGCTTGCTCATGCAGAATCATCCATCCTATATTTGCATAGGCTCTATCTAGCCTTTCTTCAATTAGTGAACCCCCTCTTATTCCTGCCCAAGTGTATCTCTACCCTTTGTAACCCAAATCCCGGAGACCGCATTGGTCAATTACAGACTTCAAATGCATCAATCTATAGTACTCAATGGGATTTCCACCTTTTTTGTCTTTGTTACTTGTTATGAAGTTCCAGTCCCCAATACAGGCCCATGGCCCGTTAATTGAGACTACCAATTGGGTGAGATCATTAAGGAAGATTTGTCTTCTTCTATGGTCAGGACCTCCATAAACAAAAGTATAGAAACAATTAGTGTCATCTGAGTTCTCAATGGTGGTATGAATTCCATACTCTGAGGTCTGCAAGATTGAAAGCTTGACCTCCTTCGTCCAGGCTAAAAGAAGCCCACCGGATCGACCCCTTACATCAACCCCACATATGGACCAATTCTTGAAGAAAACCAATTTCCTTTTAATTTCTTCTACTGATAATTTAGTCTCACTTAAGAAGACAACCTCTGGGAGATTGGTGTGCACTAGATGTCGCAACATTCGAACTGTTTGGGGATCTCCCATCCCTCGACAGTTCCAAGCAAAGTGCTTCATTTGGTCCCATGGGGCTGTTCTAGGACAGACGCCTGAACCCTTGAATCTTTTGAGATGGTTATGGTATAACATTCATCACATGTCTCATTGTTAGGAAGACTCCAAAGTCTTCTAAACGGTACCTTCTGGGTAGCTGTGGGTGAAGTACTATCTTTTTCCTTTGATTTTGAGAATGGTTTAAGTCTACTCCTTTTCCTCTTCCCTCCCAGGAAGTTGGGAGTTGACAACAGGAAAGAAGTATTGTTTGAAAGTAGAGGAGCTTGTACCTCACTCGTAGGGTTTGCTAGTTGGCTCTTTGTTCCTGGTTCATCCGCTCCCTGCCTTGGACTTTCTTTTCTAGCTCTTTTCTGGTTATTTCCTAGGCTTGTCGCATTATCAGCTTCGAAGGTTAAAGCTCTCTTAGATCGGGCCAACACTTTTGCTTTGGGCCTAGGATTAACCATTTTATCCTCTCTCGGGGTAAGCCCATCAATATTCATTGGGCTTGGACTATTCTCCACAAATATTGGATTTGTTTGTTGGCTAACACCACTATCCACGTGTTCAGTAGATACCACTTCCTTTTTGTCCTTGGTATTCTCATTTCTTTGGGTAATGACAAGCCCGTTTGGAATGAACTTAAGAGACTTGTCTACCTCGGACAATCTCAAGGAAACCTCGTACTGGTGTAGCTGCTGAGAAGCCTTTCCGTCTGTTGGATTTGTCTTTTCTCTGATCATGACAGGCTTTTCTTGTAGAATACATTTCCCTTTGTCAGCAGAGCTCTTCACTTGTAGAGTCAAGTGACTGCCTGGTTGTGCAGAATTAGGTCGGCTTTCCTGGTTTTTAGCTGTAGGCCTAGGCTCATTCCTCAAGAATCTGTCCTCACACTCACCGTTGTGGCTTCCATGTTCCTGTACCGCACCATTTTTTGGCCAACGAGTTCACCGGAGATGTTTCCATCGGAGAGGGCCAGCTCGATTGTCTCGAAGTTTCTCCTCCCAGGCGACTGCCACTATTCCTTCCTCTGGATCAATTTCCTTGCCACCCTAATCGTTTGTCCACCGAGGAGAATGTGTCTTGGTTTCTCCCGGGGGTTGTGGGTTGACTTGGAGCGAATAGCCAGGGTCCGTAGACACGTAGTCCCGGTTTTGAAGCTACTTCGAACCTAAATGGTTTACCTTCAGCTTTTGCCCTTTCTTCATCCTCAAACTTCATGAGGCATCGTTGTTCCTCATGACCTAATTTGCCACAGTAGAAGTAGAGGGGTTCTTGCAGCTAGCAGTTTTGTGATGTCCACTTCGACCTGGATTCTCAAAAATCTCCCCCATTGGTGTTTGTTCTCCCTGTCCTCATCGAGAGGGGTTCCTACAGCTTCTGCTAGGCGTCTCCTTGTTCTAAAGTTCATACAATTAACTAGGAGATCCAAGATGTGCATCCAGAAAGGCTAACTGGGATATTCGGGCTCCATTCCTTCAGAACAAAGGGGAAGCCTTTGATGGACCACGGTCTCTCCTCCCAGATCGTCTTTTTATCAAGTCCATGTTCGAACTTGATCATTATTTCATCGGTAAGGTCATGGATGGTGAATCTTCTCACCGTGTTCCAGGAGGTGTAGGTTGCTTCCTTGACACCAGCAACATTCACTGATTTGTCTGAGATAAGTTTGCCTAGGAGGCAAAGCTTACCTTGTTTGTTTCCTTCATCTTCTTCATCCAGCGGGACTTTGTGAGTTGGGATGTTTAGTTTTTCTTGAATCATACTCTCAATCTCTGAAATGTCAGAGCTGGGTTCACCTTCCTCCATAGGTAGCAATCACGATGGCAAAAAACACCTACACGGTGGAGCAACCAATTCAATCGGCAGAGAAACAAGAATTTCAGACAGAAACCCTACTGATTCTTCCCGTTTTAATTAGAGGTGGGCCTATCATCTAAAGATAGAAGATAATGAACGATATTTTTATCGATCTAAAATCTCAAATACCTTAACTGATTCAGTCTCAAGATAGAAGAAGACAATAAACAATATCTTCTTTTCAATGATAGTTTTGTCATTTTAAAAAATTTTAAATTGTACATATCATCATATGACCAAATAACTAATATTGTGACCAACTTGACACTTTTTAAAAATTTAGTACCAAAAAATTTAGGGTACTAAAGTAAAATTTTCCCTTCAAAAGGGAAACCCAATAGTGCTATTTAAACTCTGGTCCAAAATGGAAGGGTAGTACTACAAACTATATATACAAGTTTCAAGGGCATTATACAGTGCATGTCGTGCGCATTGTGCAATGTTCACTTCGAATCACCACCTTACAAGTCTATACTGCTGGAACTGGATTCGTAGTTTTATTGGTGGAGGGTTGTGGGTCCCACTGTAAAGGACGATGATGATCATGCTGTTCTTGCCTGACGTGAGGGTTCCCAGCACCAGCAGCAATGGCAATGCTGTTCGCAGCAGCGATTCCGATTCGATTACGAGGCGACCTTGGGGGAGACGCATAAAGAAACGATGCGTTCAGTACCTCCCGGCGCACGTTATCTTCCTGTTCTCGAAACCGTTGGGCCCGTAGGGCCGTCAAATATAAGCCGGAAGCGAGGAGTACGGTGGTTAGTCCCAGAACTCCGGCGGCCGAAAACAAGCCTTCACGGATAATCAGGCAACTGGTCCTCGGTCGCCTCCACTGCTCCAAATGCCCCGATTCAGCTCCCAGCCCTATCAGCAATAGCACCTCCGCCACCGCGAAACATATCCTGTACATAGTCGTTGCCATTCCATTGTCTGAATAAAACCTTCTATAGTTTTCACAATTTGGGAACTGAAACGTAAGAGCCAAAAAGAGAAAGGGAACTCTGAGAGTACTGAATCGATAGATTCAATGTCAAACAAAAACTTACCAAGTTGTAAGAAAGAAAAATCCGGCTTGCCATGAAAGGGACTTAGCGAAACGAGAGTCCGACTCGCTCAAACCAATCAAGACTGGGGGTGTGTACTTGCTAACTGCAACCAGAATATATGCATGTTGCACGATCATGGCGATCGCTAGGCTCAGAAACGCACCGCCCGCGCACAACAGCGTGGTTCTTCCGCTACCACTGTAAATACATACGTATCTGTGTCTTTTATCACTGCTTGAGGGAACCCATGTCACCTGCAAGGAAAAACGTCCATTGCCATAAGATAAGAATGAATACAGTTCTAACGTAGAATTGGAATCACAGGAGCCGGAGCTTCTTTGCTAATGATATGAATCAAAAATCGCGTACATCCGATCTAGTGGTTTCTGCAAGGAGGCACAGAATGAAACACACAAGTCCGCAGAGTATAGAGACGATCAAGAAGAAAGCACCGGTTTTGCTACCGAGGTCGGTGCTTGGGCGACTTGGAGCGAGATCAGCATGCGTAATCGCCATTATCCGGAAACTGTGTCGAAATTTGGAAGCTGTCAGAGCTCAGGCAGGTTCAACATGGAGGATGGGCGTGGGAGTATTCCGAACGCTCTGGTGGGGGAATAAAGAGTGGGAAAAGGATAATGAGACAGAGGTGAAGAAGGAAAGACAGAATCGAATTGCTTGCAAGTTGCAACAAAGGAAGGAGTAGAAAGTTGCTTCAAGAGTACAGATTCGTGGCATTTTTTCTCACAACTCGCATGGAACGTCGTGTATTAAAAATTAAAACTTTCTTTTCTGTGTGAACTATGGAGATGGAGAGGCAAATTAAAGGAAGGAAAAGAAAGAAAGAAAAAAAAAAGATTTAGGAGAAAAAGGTTGATTTTATAATTTTAGTATATGTTATTTTGTGGTGGGGTCACAGACATCAGTACTACTCCTCAGAGGAAGGTTTCGGATCTTCACGAGAACGATCGAGAGAGAAGCTGACTTCAGCTACAGACCAGAGATTCTACCTTTAGACTGTAGATTTTAGCCCAGATGATCTACAAACGGTGGATCCTGATTCTATAGCTTCAAACAAGAGACGGAAGAAAGGCAATTTATAGTCTATCTTTTGATAATGTTGTGTCCCCAAATCCAAGAATCAGAAGGTGAAGGATCCCGTGACCTAGGTCGGTTGGTTGGTGGAACGTGCAGAGGAAGATATCGTGATTCTCTTCACCTGTTTGGTAATTGGCTTAGACGGAGGAAGATTTAAATGCAGAGGACGGTAATGTACAACCTTTACAGAATTACAGTACAGCCCAAAGGTAAAGTACCATAGCAGGAAAGGTATTTCTGTACCATTCAAACGTTCAAGCTCAACAATAACAAAACTAGAAAGTGATGAATTGGGATAACAGTAGATTGTTAATATGGCCTTAAAGCAAGATTCCTGCAAGACAATCCAATGCATACACAATATAAGTTGGGTTTTTGCACCATACATTCTCAGCGACTAGACAATCAACCTCTCATTTATTTAATGTCAAATCAGAAATCCACAGGCGGAATAAACCGACTCCAATACACGGAGTTCAGAAGCACACAGCACAAGATACTTTGCACCTGAAACTATGGATACCAAAGGAAAATGAAACTTTCACTCTTTCAGTGACTCATCAACTATTTACACTTTATAAAGAGTTTGCATTTGGTACAACAGTGGAAGGGCCACTCAAAAAAACAAAGCAAAACAAAACAAACCATTTCTTCTAAACTAGATGAACGAATTTACAGGTTCTGTCCTTAAATTGTAGAAACATTGGTTACTGCTACGCTTAGTAACCAAGTTGCAAAAGCCTTGCCCTCCTTTTAGCAGCTAAGTCTCGCCTCACTGATATTCCCCACTTAACTGCAGCCCTAAGCTTAAACCACCCCATGTTGGGTTTGCAACTCCTAGAAACATGAACACTTAAATCAGGTAGAGATGAAAGAAAACTGATGCCCGTTTCATCACCTGAGCCAAGAAACAACCCATTCCCTTGATCCCATGTTGCAGGAAGTGGAAACCAATTCTGAAACTGAAATTTAGGATTGCCTTCCCCTACTAAGTGCCCCCCCGGCATAACAGGCCCAGACGATCCACCTGTCGCCCAGTCACTCATGTCACTTCTATATGGTCCAGTGGAAATATCTGTCGTGCTCAGATCATTCCTTTCAATTGGAGTGAACAATTGTGTTGGATGACACTCCTGCATATCACCAACTCCTTTTGACTGGCCATGATCTTCCTGAATGAATGTTGCTGGATTAGGTAGATTATTGAACCCAGACTGTTTTACCATTTGATCTGCAGCAAGTTCTGACCACATAAAAATTTAAAAAGGCAGAAACGGAGAAAAAAATGAAAAGAATAAAAAAAAAAAGAAGCCAGAACTTGAAGGCATCATGAAATAAGACACACGATGTACCAATCTGGGAACATTGTAAGAGATTCCACAGCACATCAGCCCGGACAGAGTATTTACAATTAAAGAGAAAGAATCCAAGACAAGTAAACACTACCCGCTAAGTCAAATTAGGTGCATATTGATGAACCAACTAGAATCAACAAGAATGCTTACCAAAAAAAACAAAAACGAAACTAAAATCAACAAGAAAATTAGTCCTTTATGTGCATATTAAACGAAGCAAATGCCTAACATCAAGTTTTCCCAGGCAGTCTACTGCCTATCCTCGAGAAGGGCAGAGGATCTCTTGTAGGGATAGCCTGAAAGAGGCTCTACTTTATGGCCTTCCACAAGTCAACCATTCATAAACAGCAAACAGCTGGATGTACCCCTGCATCCATAGTAATGCTAGGCCAATGGTGGAATAGTCTTACTTTTCTACATAATGGGTACCTAAGACGTCATCTTCTGGAAGTACCTTGAAGTGAAAATGGGAGGTCAGGATGCTGGACATCCAAACTCGATCCTTGAATGGCCCCAACTTGCAGCAGGGGCAGAGGCCTCATAGGACCATCAGCTGGTGTTTCCTTCATCTCAACTATGTCATTGACATTCCTGTATGCTTGTCGCTTCAAACCCTCCACCAAAATCTGCCAATAAAAAGGTGGGGTTAAAATGTTAAATTAGTCTCAGATCAAGGCAGCAACATCCCCACAAGGGCCACAACAGAATGTCCCAGGAATAGATGAATGAAAAATATAAATAAATCATGTTCACATGGATAGAGGCCATTGCCTGGTGGAACTGTAAATCCTTGGGATGACAAGTGTGGGTTAGTTGGGACCAACATTGGATAATAGCCTTTTTATCATATTCAAAAGGATCCTTAAAATGATAGGCTCAGATTAAGAGTATAAAAATATTGGCATTCAGAATGAACAGCTTATTCAGATGTACCCTTGGATTTCTAATTATAATAGAATTTTTTTCTGCACGCAGCAGCTGTTCTTAGATTCAAACCCACATTCTCATACTCATCAGCCTGAGATTTTATATTTTATCAGTGCACCAACCAACAGCCCATCCTTGTATTCTCATATTATAAATTTCAAGCTGTCACTGATCAAGAGATAACATGTACAGGTTTGAAAGTTAAAACTTATCCACCAGGTTCAATGATCTGTAGCCAAAAGAATACAATTGAAACATATTTGGAAAGAAACAAATTTCTGCTAGCAATGCTAACTCATTGAGACCAAATCAGGCAGATGAATGATAACACTTCATCCAACAACACTGTTGGAATATAGGTCATTAATTGGTATTATAGAAAGATTTCCTGGATTAGAGGTACATACCATCTGTGATGTGTTGAGGTTAGCTAGAGAATGGTAATGGCCTTCAAATGTTGCACCAATAACCTCATAGATAGAATTAAAAAATAGCTCAACCTTCTGATTAGCACTGTAGTATGTATAAAATTTATCATCCAAAATACATGCTGTAGCATGTTGCACAATGGTCTCCCAGGTCTTGTTTGACATCCCACTGCCAAGGATCTGCAATTTTCACAATGGGTGACACTCATTAGAAGAAGCCTACTTGATGAAAAAAGAGGACTTTTTTCAGTGTTGTGGTTAAACCAAAAGGAATTGTTTCTTACACTGCGCAACAAGGACTGGTCAATGACATACAACCGGAGGAAATCCTGCACCGTTTTGACTCCCTTAGAAGCAAGCCGGGTGTGAAATGCACCATCTTTCCCTATCCTCTCTAAACGCCAGACTTCATCATTGAAGCTTGGAGGATGATGTTTTTTGTACACTGAATAAACAGACTAAGCTTCAGTCTTGGAGTGCTAGTTACAAGTATCTATAGGCAAAAAGGGATGCTCAACAAATAAGACATTGCAACAACAAAATGTACTAAAATATAATGCAACAACTCAGGAGAGAACAAATATGGACTTTGAATTCTATACCCCTCTCCAAATAGATAAATAGAAGTCCAAATTTAAGAGAAGTTGCAGTATCAGTTGAATGGACAATAGTTATCTTCTCTTTCTTCATTCTTATACCTTTCTTTTTGATGGGTAACAATGAGACTTCATTACATTTAATTAAATGATATACAAGTACATATAAGTCTATAAACCCCCTTTGTTTGGACTAAACTCAACCACCACCCAATTTATACCTGTTATCTACAGGTTCACCCCTTGAGGAATCACCCCCCCTCCTCCCAACACAAATGAGATCTTTGACCCCTTATCTTGCTAAGATGTCAGCCACATCATTGGCTGATCTCAGTATCTAATGTAAGTGACTGTCAGTTCCCTCACTAACCGCTTTACCTCCCTACATGTCTATGTCTCCACAAGTTCCCACTATCTATTTTGAGCCATTCCACAAATCCTTATAGGATTTAAGTCATCCACAATAGTCCAACTCTTTATTTCTACCTTTTCATGTGAAGAAACTCCTACCAACTTCTAGACAAGGATACGGAATGCCTAAACAAAAGTAAACTCAATAATTGGAAAGTGATCATAGAAGCTAAATCATTGGCATCTAATCTTAGCTGCTTGTTAGATGGGCAGCTCAAGCAGTTGATACAATAGCAGATACCCTTGCAAGGAATGGTGTAAGTAGGGACAATTTTCTTTGGGGTACACTAGGTCTGGGTATTAATGTAACAAAAAGAGCTCTTCAAATCATTCCACAAAATTAGTGCTTCTTGCAGCCTTTGTGTTGTTTGTATTGTCTCCTCTATAATTTCATGATTACTGATAAAAAAGTAAACTCATCACGCCACATCATGGATATACATAAAAGCAAAATTAACAGAACCTGATGGTCCTGATACATTATTTGAAAGACCTAAAATGTTCTAATTAAACTCACCAGATTTCTACTATGCTCATTAGCATTGAGAAACCTATATTTGACTAAAAACTAGGGGTCAATGTTCTTAAATAGGCGTACAGTACTGCAAAGGTTTGAGAAGAATGGGATTAGCGAACAAAGGTAATCTTAATGGAAAAAAAAAAAGGTTTTGGCACGCTTTTGTACACATTTCATTTTGTCTTTCACAGTCAATAGAAGATTGACGTAAAAAGATAATAATAATAATAATAATAATAATAATACAAGGGTAAAACAACCCAAGTAATGATAACAAAAAAGTATTGTGGCATTTAATTCAAAGAAATGCATACAAACTTTTCATAAAAAACAAGTCTCTTTTTTTTTCTTTTGAATTTGGGAGAATACAGATTTATCAAAAAATGGCTTACTATAAGCAATATCCTAAATAAATCAACTAAATACTTATCTATTCATCTTATAATGGTTTGAGGTTAAAGTTGATCCTAGAAAAAGATTGAACTTACACTCTCCACGGTGATCTTTTACAATAAAAGCTCCACTTCTTGCTTCCCTAATTCTTTCTTCACCACAAGTGCTTTGCACAGCTCTAGCTCCTAATCTGAATTTTCGACTTCGTATCCAGCTGGAGTTATCTGTAAAGGCAATTTCACCAAGAAGGCCAACCCCATCCTTCATTGTAATTACCAGATCTCCTGTCACTAATGGCCTTTTCCCCTCTCTTTCACGGATTACACTATTATCAAATTCCTTCTCAGTCCAATCTTCTTCTTCATCAGCACCAAAATCACCATCGAGGACAAGAATCTCTATCTTGATTGAAGATAGAGGGCCATATGTGGTTATACTCTTAGAACTAGCATCAACAATTACTATCTTAAGTGGTTCACCATTCTCTGCTTCTATCCGGCTGCCCGTGAAAAGTGTACCAGGCAACCTGTTGATGAAATGCAACTGCCAGCCTCTTGATCCAGATTCTTCAAGCTGATTAAGTGAAGGCCTAGAATAAAGGCATAGTTAAAACAGAGATTATTTTTGAAACTAATAGATTTGAATATCTGAAGAGAGAGAGAGAGAGAGAGAGGACAATGGATTATGGATAAGGAGAACACATAGACCTAAAGGTGCAAAATATAATGTTTCCCAGGATTCAGCTCAACAGATGAACCTTAGAAGGATCATGGATATGAAGTACATGATCCTTACAGTTTGTTGTGTTCATATAAACAAACAAAATCAACAGGGATACCCTGTAAGTAACATCACTGAAATTTGACATTAAACACTTACTTCGGAGATGATTGCATATAAAGCAGCATTCCCCGTTCCACCTCTTCCCGTACCTGGTAAGCAGAAAAAAGTATAGTAGATTTAAGTCATAGACTTCAGAAAAATGGTTCAACAATCAGTTTACTAGAGTTTTCTGACGCAATAGCAACAACCAATTAGAAGATCACCATAGACACCAAATTAATTTAGTAACAGAAAGGTCATTTTCATATATTGGTAAGGAAAGATTGAAGCAAAATACAGAGACCATGTAATCAATGCATAAACTCATAAATGATTATCCTGCTTTATTCAATTTCAAACAACTTTAACTGCTTTAACACCATCTTGGATTGCATATAATCAAATAAAATACAACATAAAAGAGCTTTCCTTTGGAAGGAACCTATTTAATGTCTACAAAGGTGTACAACTAATTAAGTGGCTAAAAAAAGTATATGATTAAGGCTGTTTATAGTCAGAGGAATTGATTTGCTGATTCCAATTAAGGTTATCTGTCATAAGACAAATCACTCTAAGAAATTGAGTTTTGTAAGAAAATTTTCTCAAAGATTAGTGAAGGAACCGGTCTCTCAAGATTCTTGTGTTTAGGGAAAATTCTTAAAGCTGAAGGAGATAGCTTCTATCAATCAGGGGAAAATCTCAAAGTGATTTCTAACATGGAAGTAGTATGTACATGCTAATAATGTGCAAACCAGTAATTTGGTAATAATGGATTTTTTTTGAGAAATTGCCATGTTAGCCCTATTTTTACCAAATGTGTCTTTTATAGAAATGGGTCATTAACCGTATGCCTCAAAATTGGTGATTCCTGAGGGAGTGATTTGGAGGAATGAATTCCTATTTCCAAAATATAATTTGTTCAGAAAAAGTAGTGCACGGTATGTATATAAAGTTAAAACAAAGAAGCTAAATGTCAATGGCTTTTAATAAGAACTTATAATAGATCCAGTATGCAATATTTCTTTACTAAAAAAGCTGCAGAAAAGGTGAATTCTAAACATAAACCAATAAATATGATTGCTGTACATAAGATTAGTAAATATAGAGTATAGGAGAAACCATCTCACAAGCATTTTAGTCAGAACATTACCTAGGTGGTCAACTAGGTATTCTAAGGGGTGTTGCTGATAAAAAATAAATAAATAAATAAACTAGGCAGGCATACTTTGTAGGGAGAAGGCTTTGGCTGTCCATAGGCTCTCTCCATGTGAAATGTTAGTCCACACAGCCATGCCTCCAGTACTGTTATGGTTGCATGGAGTCCATATTGATTAACATGTCACATCACACAGGGAGAACCCTGGTGACAGTGCAGGCTGCCGAACATAGACAACCAAAATTTTCTCCTTCCTAGGTAATCATCTGGTCATTACCTGGATGACTAAGTAACTTTAACTAGATGATTCCTTGAACATTGAATTATGTAAATGTAAGAAAGGTAGGTGACCATTTCAACAAGGGAGCAAATAAGTAATTGTGCCTTTTTATATGTTTAACACAACTGAACAGATATGTGCTCAATGGAAACTCTTCCTGGCCCAAAAAAATAGGGTATCCTAACTTTTTGGGCCCTGAACACTTCAAGAAAGGAAGAATCAAATAGGAGAGAAGAAAGTAGTAACTGCTTAATGACTAAACGTCTCATTCAAGTAGTAGGTATTCTTTGATTTGTTTCTTGGGTTGGATGTTTTCTATTTTCCCACTTCCTCAATGGAATGGAACTCAGCTATGACCAATGTTGTTTCCAAACCACAGCAAACTGTTGCATTCTTCTTTTTTTTCTACTTTTATTTGGATTTTATCAAACCCCATTCTCTCTCTCTCTCTCTCTCTCTGGAAAGAAAAGGGAGGGAGAGCATAAATAGTCAACCTTACACAAGAACAAGACAAGAGTACACTACTTGGTTGAAATTTTTGGAATGGAAGAGCTCAACTTTGAACTTTAAACTTTAACTGGATGGAAAACAAAGAGCCAAGTACAAGGATGCTTCATTTCTACAGCCAACTAAATAATTGTAAAACACAACTTCTACATTTATAATCAGCAGTCTGAGCAACTACAGCCTCCTGTCAGATGGAGAAAAATGAAGGTTGGGTTCAGGCATTCAGCTGAGTTGCATCAAGATACTAACACCCTTTAAACTGCAATTTCATCTGTACTCTTGAATACTCTAATATATAGACTTACGACAATAATAACATTGGTTCAATGAACACTGGAATAACATGAAGAATTGTCCTACCACACTTCTCAGAAAAGGTTCCAGTTTGGATAAGAAATCATGCATGGAGAGACCCCTCATCACCTCAATCCCAGCACTGCCAAATAGCACAAATAATTTAAGGAACAAACTTAAAGAGCTAAAAGACATAACAGAAATACTTATTGACCAACTGCCAAACAAGTACAGACGTTGGAAGCGTATGCGGACGCTTTGGTGCCTGCACTGGTACTTCCAAGGCGTCGTTCTCCCCATGAAAATATCTTTTGGGCACCATGAGATAACTCAAGATAAGACAACTGAATCAACTAGAAAGCAACCTAGGCTCTGAAACTCTAATCCTACCAACTCAAAACTTCCACACTCGAACGAGCCAACCCACCAACGAACATATAAACGACTCAACTGTAGCGAAGGTGCATGGAAGCCTCACTTGAGGCGTAAGTAACACGCTCATAAAAGTCTAGTAAAGATTAGTTAAGTAGTAAACCAACAAGAATCCTAAGACATAAATCAATTTTCTATAGCCAAGTAAAGCAAATATACAGGGATACGAATATACGATACATAGGTTTATCATCATATATACTTGGGACATTGAACGAATAATCCCAGTCAATGATTTTCCGATCCCGAATTAAGAATCAGAATTAACCCCCCAAAAAAAGAAGTTAAAATTCAGAAAGGGTTCTTGGGGAGTAGAAATTCAGAAAATTGACCAAAAAAGAATGAAATGTATAAGCAGGTCATAACTACAACTACACGAAAATGGAAACTAGAAAAATAAATAAAATAAAAATTAACAAGTTATAGGTTCCACGCGTACCTGAGTAGATTATCGACTGAGAGAAACAACAGAGAAAGCGAGTAGTAGTTACAGAGAAAGACCAGTAGGGGGTTGTCTTCCGTAGAATGACGGTACGAAAGAGACTCGGAATCCATGGTATTTGAATTTATGCAAGTCCAGGTGATTCTGGATTTGAAACCCTAAATCAAAATACAAAACCTAAAATAAAATGGAAAATATTTAATGATGTAATAATTAAGTGGAATAAAAAGAAGCCCAGATTCCAGCTCCCGATAGCTTTGTTCGTTCTTGAGGTCATAATCCATGTCTCCCGCTTCCTTTTGCTGTAAAAAAGCGACTACACTAGGTTTTCAACCCTCCACTGCTGGCTGCTGCGCATAGAGGATATGAGATGCTGAAACTGAGAGAATAATCCTCCTTTCTTTCTGATAGAAAGGCAAAGCTTCTGTAAAAGAAAGAAGAGAAAGAAGGATTCCCCTTCTGCGCACCAGCCACGTGCTACGAATATGCCTTCCAGTTGACAAAATCTTTGGTGCATCAGTCAGTGCCTTTGCAGGCGCCTCTTGCTTTGGCCTTTCAGAATTTCTGTAAAAGCAATTGTTTTTCTGTCTGCGTTTCCAGCCTTGCACACCTCTCAGACAACACCAGACGCAGAGGTGTCTGGTTCAGTAGTTCTATATCTGCTTCATTTACTAACTGGTTAATTGAATTACAACTGCAAATTGCATACCCTTCCACTAAAATCCTCCAAACTTTACAGAATTACAATACTTATGATTACTGCAGTTTATACCTCGCAGATTGAAATATTTCAATCAAAAATCTGTTTTGATGAATTCAGACTTTTTTCTATGATGAATTCATAAAAAAAAAATGAAAATATAATTGGCTCTTTATTTTTTCTTGATATTTTAAATGAAATAATTTTAAACTGAAAACTGTATTTAAATATATCAATCATAAACTAAAGATTTCATTCTACTGTGTAAGTCCAGTCAAACAATGACTTGAAGAAAAAAGTCAAGTCCACGTGGCAAATCTTAACATGTATTTAAAATGCATATACAACATTTCTCAAGGCAAACTAAGCTTGCACAAAATGTATTTGTTGTTTTTAATTCTGGGGGATGAGTTATTTAAATAAGTCTGAATCAGTTTAGAGTATTGTTTGTATAATTTGAAAACCAAAACGAGAAATCAGAAAGAGGATCACTAGGAGGAAGCAGGAACCACCCTTAAATTAGTTGACGGGTCTTGATATAGTACAAGTCGAACCTGTTTTTGACTCCATTGAACATGTTCTCTTTCTAGTTGATGTTCAATCCTTTTCTAGTAGTTGTTTTTTTTTTTATTTGATGAGGATCCAACCACCTTACATGATGTTCAACCAATTGAAGTGCCAAGATTTAAGACTTCAGTTTGATATATACCTTGTCAACAGTATTGACTCAACCATATTAATGGTCGTCACTTGTAAAAAAACCATATTAACGGTGGTTGTTCTCCGGAGTCCGGATCTGCTGACCATGATACATTGCTGTCCACCTTCACGCAGCCACGTATGGAATATTGGTTATGTTGTGATCACTGATATTATAATGTGTTGTGGTCACTGATCAGTAAATCCGAACTTTGTGCTTCGGATGGTCCAGCCCAGTCCGTTCTTTGTCGAGTTTGGATATAATTTTAGGCCCATGGGCACAGGTTTGGGCCCAAAGATGTAATGTGGGTCATGACAATCCTGCAAGGTTCACTTTTTTGGAGCTCACCACGAGCCTAGGCCCATGGGCCACCATGATTTTTCTTTTTTTTTTAAGAAAGTTTGAAAAAAAAAAAACAAGATAGACAATGAATTGAAAAAAAAAAAACTTAAACTTTATTTCATATGATTTTTAATGTATATAATTGTTTATATATAAAATGATAAAATAAAATTGAAAATTTACAAAAAGATTGGAACGAAATATTATAATAAAATTGAAAACAAAAATTTATTATTTATGTATAAATACATATATGGGTCATGCTAGCTCAATCCAGGTTTATGGGCCATGCCTGGCACAGCCCGATATTTGTAGCACATGGACCATGTTGGGCATGACCCCAATAGTGTCGGCCCGGCCCACATTACACCTTGACTCAAAATATTAGGCCCAACTTTTTTTAGGCTATGCTTAGGCTATCTCAAAAAAACTTGGGTCGAGCCCAAGCCTCGTTCATAATATTTTATATAATAAAAAATATACAAAAAAATATGAGCAGGCTCAATGCAGATTTCTGAATTGCACTGCAGAGTTATAAACATTCAAAGTATCAAAAATCCACACTCTATACACCAATGCCCACCCGTGAATTGGCATCAATTCCGAGCTAGCACCTACCCCAACTGTACTTTAGGTCTAAAAATTCTGACCCTGGGCTGAACCGTCATTCTCCCAAAAATATATAATATATTTGTTCATTTTTTTTCTCTTCTCTTTTATCAAGCCATAATAAGATCTTTCAATATTTTTTAAGTTTTGAGGCCATTTAATATAAATAAATCAGTTTTGTTATTGAGTAAAAAAATCTTGTCCAATTTTCATGGAGGGCCCTGGGCTTTACATGAGGGTTGGGCTCGAGCTCAAGATCTAAACCCATTGGTCGAGCTAAGCTCAGGCTCAGGCTCAGGCCTGAAAGGCTTTTGTTAATATAGAGGCAAAGCCTAGCCAAAAACCTGTCCCAACTTGGCCCATTAACAGGTTTAGTAGTCAATAATAAAACCACCAAGTAGGAGTGCAAATAGATTGAGTTGATTTAAGCAGATACAAAACTGATTTGTTTGTATTTGAATTTGAATATGATCTTATCCATTGGGTTTATATAAAGATTTGAATTGAATTTAGATTGCAATAGGATACTTAATAGTAGGGTTCGACTATGATACATGGAAACAAGGTATCAGTCCAGCAAGGTATTGATATGTGGAACGCATTGAGAAGGTGAGTTTCGTTCTTTTTCATTGTTTTAAGATGTGTATCGGAATACGTATAGTGTGTGCATTGGGCCTATATTAACCGTATCAATATTTGTATTGATGGTGTATCAGTCGATATAGTACAAAAGACAGGGAGGCAAAAATAGATTTTTAAGATTTAGCAAAATTGGGGTTTTAACCCTCTTTAGAAGTCTTCTTTCATGCCCAAGCTTTCTAAACACTCCCAACCACCAAATTTACAAAAAATAAATGAAAAAAAAAAAGATTAAAATTCAAAAAAGTTTTCAACATAAAGGTGCCTTGTATAAAAGTTGCGAACATATATATGATTTTTTTATTTCGTTTATTATATGTACAATTTTTTTGCCTTTTCTTTTGCTCGAATGCATGAAAATACTTGAATATGAATTTATATACTCTTTTTATCTTAATAATCTATTCTTTTTTGTGCTATAAGTAAATCCATGTGACATTGTAGGGAAAAATGGGGAAATTTTAAAATAATAGAAAACAATTATATTTTTGGTATGATCTAATAATAAAGAGTAGTATATTGTGAATCTATAGATGGTCAATCATATCATGGATCCATTAAAAGTTCTTGTTAAATATTGAATTTTTGGAATAATTATTTTAATAACAAAAAAATATATTAATTACATATCCACTTAAAAGTTGCATCAATGTATCTTGGAGGTTGTATAGGATAATTGGACTCTTCTCCTAGTTATAATTAGACATAAGATTTGTTTCATGAAAATTTGAAAAATAAATAAAATTCCATAAAACCACTAAAATTTTATTTATTTTTTAATATTTTATTATTTTAAATAAAAGTAAATACAAGATAATTACTTTAATACCAAAATAATTACCAACTTGAAAATTTAAGGTACAAGTTCGATGAATAATTTATCAACATATAAGCTTGTAGTTTTTTTTTTTTGGATGAATATATAAGCTTATAGTTATAGCTTTGTTAGAAAATATTAATGTATTCCCATATGTTAATTATGATGTATTTCTTCATGAAACCATTAGAGTATGTGATTCTTATATATGTATACATCATTTAAGATTTATATTTAGTGTTATTAATGTATATTTATGATTTATTTGAGTGTTTTTAGCTTTTCATGTGTTTTTATACATATCTTGATTTTTTTTATTTGTATTCAAAGTATATCACAATACACCTTTTAACATTGTCTTTCCGATGCACATTGTGTTTTCTGATACTTAAAATCTTGCATGGAAAGATGGATATTGGAAAAACTTATAACCAATCAACTAGTATCATAAAAGTGGTAACCAATCAAGTAGTACCACTAATCAAAATTCATATAGCTTTTTTGATTGATCAAAGCTCTTCAAATATCATGTTCTTTTTTTCTAGCAACATAGGTTTTTCATTAATAATAATTAATAAATAAAACTGAAAATGTTCCAAATACTATATATTATTATTAAAAATATAAAATAAATTAAAAAATACTTAAATATTGTATTTCATTAACAAAAAACTCGGACCTACTACAATCTAGTAAAAATACAACATTTAGTCATTTAAACCAACTTTACGATAGAGACAATATAAAGTTTTAATATATATGATATGAGCATATATGTTTATATCAAATCCAATTGGGTATTATAAAGATCGGATAGGGGTAGTCCATATTCGATCCAGTTATAAATGGACTGAATTCACAACATCCATCATGAATTGAAATTCAAATTTGGACACTATTTGTAGCCCTACCTACAAAATGGTACCTTTATTTTTATTTGTCCAGCTTTCAAGTCTGTGGCTCATAGATTACCAAAACTTTGCTTGTAATATTCTCGATATCTTATCATTATCATTTGAACCACCTTTTATGTATTTATCATCTGATTGACTAAAAGATGCTTTTACTGTTAATCCAATGTGTTTTGCTTTTGGATGTTTTTTTAATAAAAAAAAAGAAAAACATTAGGCTTCAGGCCCACCTTACTTTTTTCTTTCACCCACGTAAATGGATGATGGACCAAGGTTTTAAACTGCCAGCTAGGCCATATTTGGTAACCCGTGTATTGTTCGAGAAGAAATCAATGGAGTACAGCGCTGGCCCAAAGCCGTGATATCAGGGCCCTTGATGCATTGTGGTGGCCCCATTTTACGTCGCTTCATCAATTCAAGGTGCCATGGGCCACAATGGCTTTGATATCTCTTCCCCAAAGCCGTGATATCAGAGCCATTTAAATTATGGTTTAAATTTGGAGCTTCAATTTTAAATGGTTGAACCACGCTTTTAATGTGATTTTGGATAAAATAAAGGGTAAAATATAAAAATCTCCTGACATCCAAAAAACTTTTCCTATTATTTTATTTTAGCAAAAACCTTCCTTGAATTTTTAAAGATTTTGACAAAAACCTCCCTTTCATTAGTGGTTCAGACGAAAAATCAATAAATTTACAAAATTACCCTTGATTATTTGTTAGGGAGTCAATAAAATATTTCAAAGTGTTAGAATTGCCCCTGCTTCCCCTTCCTCTTGCAATAGAAGGGAATGACGTGATATCCTTCCCCCGATCTCCCCTCACTGGTTTTTTGTTGATTTATCTTCTTCTTCTTCTTCTTCCCCACTGTCCCCGCTCTCTTCCATCAAGTCAATTGATTTGGAACAACCCAAAAAGCACTGTTCATCTTCTTTACGGTGGCGGTGAATAGAATTTCGGCAACTATCAGCGGCATCCTCCTTGAAGCTCACTCATTTTCTGAACTTCAGGTTTTAGCTAAACCTATGAAAAATCAGTTTCAAACTGCCGCTGAGCATAAAGCAACAAAAATGAGTAGCGAATGAAAAAAAAAAACCTACAATTGGAAACAATGGCAACGAGTCCATCAGTAGTGAAACCTTCACAAGACGAGAGGACTAAAACTTGGCCTACTAGAAACCTTTGCCCAAGGCCCTCCCAACTTCTTAACAATATACGAGTCCTCATTCCCAAGACTCTGTTAACTCCTAAAGCATTTCGGCTACAAACTTTAGAAATCCTTTAACCTAATCCTTTAGGTTCTCTACTTGAGCACCATCACCTTCGATCCCCTCGACACCTATAAAATCCGCCCTTCTCGTTTCCTAAGTAGCTGGAGTGGTTCCAATTCCATCGCTGTAACTTCTGACATTTATACAACATATACCCACAAACACCTAATTACAGGATCACAACATCAAGTTCTTAGAATCCGCTTCCATGAATTTAACATAGAGACGAGGCAGAGATGCAAAATCGATCTCTAGAACTCATTTTAAAGCAGAAGTTGTACATCAATCATCGTAGTAGTTCCATTGGCGTGATCCAAAAATACATATAGCAGAAACCCTAGCCGACCAACAATTAATTAACAGACTAGATTCCTCCAAGTCAATACAAAATGGCTAAAAGGCAAAAGTATCGACACTCTTTTTCTCCCCTTTAGACAGACAGACAGAGACATGGATGCTGAAATCGTTGCTGGCTTGCTAGAGGTCTATTTGCATAGAATATCGATACGAATGGGCACTTTAACCGTCATCGTCATTAATGGTCATTTAATCTCTTCAACACTCTGATGATCAATTATTGAAATTCTATTCACTGTCACGAAGAAGAAGAAGAAATCAACGAGAAAAACCAGTGAGGGGAGATCAGGGGAAGGATTTCATGCCATTCCCTTCTATTGCGAGAGGAAGGGGAAGCAGGGGCAAGTCCCACATTTTGAAATATTTTATTGATTTCCTAACAATTAATTAGGGATAATTTTGTAATTTTGTTGATTTTTCATCTGAATCACTGACGGGTGGGAGGTTTTTGTCAACATCTTTAAAAATTCAAGGGAGATTTTTGCCAAAATAAAACTATAGGGGAGGTTTTATGATTGTCAGAAACTTCAGGGGAGGTTTTTGTATTTTGGCGGAGTGACTCTCCTGAATTCAACAATTAATTCCATGCCTCAATTTATCAAGAGGTCTTTCAAAATTCCAAATAGTGTTATAAAGAATATCGATAAGAGTCAAAGGGATTTTTTGTGGTCAAAGAATAATGGCAAAAATCCATTCCATTTAATGAGATGGGACAAAATATGCTTACCCAAAAGTTGGGGTGGGCTTGGCCTAAAAAATTTATCGTGGGTGAATGAAGCTTGTCTTGCTAAGCTCATGAAAAATCTTGAAAGATCAAAATAATTTATGGGTAAAAGTAGCTACCCATAAATATTTGGAATACCCCTTTTAAAAAAGGTATTTCTTGGGCTTGGAGAGGGATTCTTAATGCTAGAAACCTGCTTAAGAAAGTGTTTTTCTGGAAAGATAAATGAATCGACCTTGGCTTCATTGAGGAGATAGTGAGTAGTGATTCTCCTAATTTTAGTAATAATATCAAAGTCGAGGAATTTATAGATCATGAGAGAAAGGTGTGGAAAGAAGATAGGATCCGTAGTATTATTCAAAATCATGTTTACAACAATATTACGCCTATTTTGATTCCTTCAAAGTTAAAGGATGATACCATTTTTTGGCAAGGTGATCCCAAAGGAAATTTCACCATTAAGTCAGCTTATAAGGAGGTCTATTGCATGGCAAGAGGTAGTGGGGGTGTAAATCAGGTTCTCAATAAGGTATGTGGGGCCTTAGGATTCCCCCAAAATTGAAAATATTTATATATTTTTTCTTAAATAATCACCTTCCGACAAAGGCTATGCTCATATCTAAGGGCTTACCCATTAATGATTCCCATTGTTTTTGCAATGAAATCGAGAATTCTGAGCATATCTTTCTTAAGTGTACCTTTTCTCTACAAGTGTGGCAAATGTTCAACCCTTATCTGGTTGGTGCAATTTAAGTAATAATCCAAATATTGGGGACCATGTGCCCTATGAGAAAATTTGTTTTATGGTTTTTATGGAAGAATAGAAATGAAAGAATGTTCAAAATAATAGGTCCCCCCTGGCTATTGTCGAAAAAGCTCATCAAACTTTCAAGGAATTTCAGTTAGGCTCTTCCTTTGATGTTAAATCAGATAATCCAAGAATCTTGAAAGTAGTCATGTGGAAAGGGCCAAAGGAGGGTATGATTAAGATAAATTTCAATGCCTCAAGAAAGAATGTTACGCTATTGCTTGTATTGCCATAAATTTTCGTGGGGAAATTTTGGATTACAAAGCATACTCAGTGGGCTGTACTACAATCAATGTGACTGAAGCTTGGGTTGCATGGGAAGCCCACAATATGGCCCAAAACTTCAGGTTTTTTCTTATCAGTTTTGAAGGAGACTCCCTTTTAGTTATCTCATGCTTGAAGAACCGGTGCATCCTTTCGTGGAGACTGAAGAACATTTTTTTTTCTTACCAAAAAACTAAATAAATGAACCATTTGAGAATCATTCTTTTTCACGTGACCCATTAATAACAAAATATGAATATAAATATATTTATTAAGACCCACCAACTTATGGCTCAATTGGGCCTTAAAAACCGAGTTCAAATTGCGGTGGGCTTAGAGTGGAGCTCATATGCAAAGGTTATGAATTTGTGATTATGAGTTTATGACTTCTGAGCAAAATTAAAATGTAACAGTGGAGGTGCGGGGAATCGAACCCCGTGCCTCTCGCATGCGAAGCGAGCGCTCTACCATATGAGCTACACCCCCAATTACGATTATGTTTTTACCTAAACAAAAACATTATGACTAGAATTAAGTCGTTTTTAATTGATCAATAACAGTAAGCAGCCAAACGTTGCGTTCTTATCCAAACTCCTGTTACCATTGTGACGGGATCTGTTTCTCACAAATAGGCGCCTCACAGGCACATCCACCGTGCATTAAGAACATCTCCCGTGAATAATAGCCCAAAGTACAGGAGATGTTTCGATGTGCGCGTGAGGCGCCAGGTGTGAGGAGTAGATACGGTCTCCCTACCGTTGCTGAATCATACTGCCCGAATTCGCAGGAGCCAGGAGGTCTACTTGGTTAAGATGTAGCTTTCGGCCACGTTATTAATAGGTGTCCCATTACATGTGTATGGATATTATACTGTAAATCTATGATGCCGTAAACGTATGATACGGCAATAACCTTGACCAATCAAAACCCTCCCTGAATTTTGATGAATTCCAACTGATCGGATATCACTTGTATGATACCAGTTGATGATTGGTTATATAACTTATGAATTCCAACTGTTCCGCCATTGCGCTCCTGTTACTCCAATTTTGAGTATAGATTTGAATTGAAATGAAACGAGCATGCATCCGGATAAGCTTTTAGTCGCTTTAGACTTTGGGAACAGAGTAGAAATGGAGGAGAAGCTGTCCAGAGTTGCTCGGACTCTCAATCCTTCCCCCATTCAACAGATATCACTCCTTGCCCAGTCATCCAATGCAATCAACCTTGCCGAGGGCTTTCCAGATTTTCCTGCACCTCCGCATATCAAAGATGCAGCCATTTCAGCTATTAACTCCGACTTCAACCAGTACAGGTTTGCTGCAGCCAGTTGCCTCCTATCTTGTAATCCTGTTCAAATTCCAAAAGAAAGAACAAAAAAATTCCCTCTCTTTCTGTGTTTTTCTTTAATGTTAGTCTAATTATTAACTTTGATATATTTCTACTTGTAATCAATAGGCATGTGCAGGGAATTTGTGACTGCTTGGCAATAAAGATGAAGAAAGAGCATGGTCTGGATGTAGACGCTCTTACTGATATTGCTATTTGCTGTGGTCAGACTGAGGCCTTTGCAGCTGCGGTGTTGGCCAGTAATTCTCTGTTTTGTTTGTTCGATTTTTCTTTTTTTGAAAGCCAGTTTTGATAGCTTGATTAGGGATGCAGTTTTTTATGTGATTTTATGTATATTATTTCTTGCTTAAATTGTTTTGTCGCAGCAATAGATCGAGGCGATGAAGTTTTGCTTTTCGATCCTTCCTATGAAACATATGAAACTTGTATCGCTTTGGCTGGAGGTGTCCCAGTAAGCCAGTGTATTCTCGTTTACCAAGAGCAATGAACCTTTGTTTTATTTCATTTGTGTATTTTCAATTGACTATTTGTATTCTGAAGTCTAATTCCCCTTGCAATAAATTTAATTGATCAGGTCCGTGTTCCTCTGGATCCACCTCACTGGACTTTAGATCCAGACAAACTCATGAAGGCTGCTACAGATAGAACGAAGGCTATAGTATTGAACAGGTTTGAAACAGTCCATGAATCTCTTAGCAAATCGAGTTATGAATTTAAAAAGTTCTTGTTTTAAAGGCATTGTTGATGTGTTATAAATTCAGAGGAGTTGAAACCCAGAAAAAAATGTATAAAGTCTAGTATAACCATGGACAATTTACTTGGATAGACTTTTACACACAAAAAAGGTCATCCGGTTATGGTTAAGGAGAAAACTCCATCTGATTATCACAGGATAATGCTGATTGGATTGAAACTGACAAGCAAACTTGCCTTTTAAATCAAATTATATTATTATTAGCCATCCTTAGTATAAATTTCTTTCTTATATTTGAAACTGAAGTAAAAATTGAGCTAAATATGCATAAAACATGCTAAGTAATGTATATATAGTTCAATCATACTTTTAGAATAACATTGGACCATGATAATAAATGTGCACTGTTTCTCGTCATCGAGTTTCATGATGTGAATCGTGTGCTTATCAACTCATGTTGCCTTTTCCTTGGTTCATTACCTGCAGAAGTAGGGTATTGCTCAGAGGAATGATTTGTTCTTTTATCTGTTTTATTTGTATAGGGGCCATTACTTGGTGTAATGGTAAAATGTAATGCGGGTTCAAGTCTGAGAGTAGATACTTCGTGCAAAAAATGCCAAAGGTCATGTTTATATCCAATCCAGCTCTCCCAAGACCACAGAGAGCTGGAAATGGCCTCTTTTTATCTGTTATATTTGTATATTGATTGGGTGGTTGAGATTTGTTTGGTTGTAGCAATTTAAGTTTTCATGATGACATGATTAAATATTCCTGTATTCTGTTTGAACTTTATATGGCATCTAAAATACACTACTTACAAAAAAAAGGGGTAAAAAGCACTTCTTAAACTATAATCAACTTGTGAAGATTATCAGGTTGCCATTGCAGTTATATAATTACATCTATTTCGTATTGCTTCTGAATCTCAAGTTATGCTTTCGGGATTATCTGTATCAACAAATTGTATCTATTTTTCCAAACATTTCAAGTATACTTATATTAAATGGCACAGTCCCCAGAATCCAACTGGAAAAGTTTTTAGCAAAGACGAGCTTGAAGCCATTGCTGGAGCTTGCTGTGACATGGATTGGTTAGCTATAACAGATGAGGTATGGATATCCTTTTCCATGGTGTCTTATGTCTAAGATGAATATCATCAGCTTGACTCATCCATGGAGTCTTACAAGCTTATCTAATTTGGTGTCTCAGTTGGTAAGGTCCCTGGCTCGTTGTAGCAGAGGCTTGGGATCAAATTCCACTGCCACCGGGGTTTTGGGAGTTATGGGTATGGGGGATGGGCTACCCCCTGTAGTGTATCCCCATGAAGGCATGGACAAAAACAAGTGCTACAGACAAATGTTACTTGTTCCCTTTTTGTTTTTATTGGAATTGAATTGAGTGGATCAAAGTGTTGTTCTTAGTAGCCACTAATTTTTCACCAGATCATGTAATATTGGTTGTATTGCATACTGAGAAACAAATCCAATTGAAGTTCCTTTTGGGGGGGGTATTCTATTATGATCTTCATCGTCATCATTATTATTGTTTGGTTTAACTCTAATTTTATTCAGTTGCTTCAGCTGTCTGAGGTTAGAGGCTTAATTGCAGGTATACGAGCATATAACTTTTGACATGGAAAAACATACATCCCTTGCCTCTCTTCCTGGAATGCAAGAGCGGACCATTATCACTTCATCATTATCTAAAACTTTTAGTGTTACAGGTAAGCATGACATCATCCATACCTGGGCTTAAAATAACTTAGTACAAGAAGATCTATATGATATTTTTTCCCCAAAATAAACTGTTAACTTTTCTACTTGTCTTTTCTCTCTTTTTTATTATATCAAATGATCCTTTTTTGCCTTTGCAACTGGTTCCGAGTTGATGTCTATATTTTCAGTTTTTGGATGTCTGTTGTTTTACTGTTGTTGCAAAGCCTTACAGGTTGGAGACTTGGATGGGCCATTGCTCCAGCCTGCATTGCCTCTGCAATCAGAAACATTCATATAAAAATCACAGATTCTGCTCCTGCACCTTTCCAAGAAGCTGCTGTAACTGCTTTAAGAAGTCCGTCAACATACTTTGAATCCTTGAGAAGAGTATGCTTTTCCATGATCTTAATGGATTTCGCATATGATAGTTTAGTTATTATTAGTTATTACTATTATCAAGTATCAATGATTTAAAAAGGTGCGCCTAGACACACAGGCGAGGTGCATTTTAGTCCTAGACGCAGCCCTTTCAAAAGGCGCATGCCTAGTGCGCCTAGGCGTGTGCTTGATGTGCCTTGTGCCTTAGCCCAGGCGTGCGTCTTTTTAAAATTCTGCGCTTTTTGCTTTTTTGATCCTAACGGCTGGGAGCCCCCGGCTCTCCGTGCCACGCTCTCGAGGCAAGCCCAAACAAGTCCATGTTAGGGTCTTAAATTCTTAGTTCTCACACAAAAAATAATGATTTTTATAGTTTTTGTTCATTCATTTATCCTACTAAAATATCTTCTTAAAAGCAATTAAAATTATAAAATCATTATTTTTTGTGTGAGAACTAAGAATTTAAGACCCTAACATGCGTGTCACAAAGTCGGCTCGTAGAATCAGGAATGTAATATGTTTTAGGTCACATTAGCTACTTTAAGTAATGCAATTGAGGAAGAAAAAGAGATTGTGGGGTTTACATGCTTGAAAATGTTTTATATGTTTGATTTTATTTTTAAATTCACATTTGAATATGCTTTACATGTTATGTTTATGTATTTTAATTTTAGATAATAGGTTTTTTAAAACATTAATTTTAAAATTTAAAGTTTACATTTTTATTAATTATTAATATTATGCTTAATATATTTTTATTTTTTGCATTTTTTATTTTTCTGACATTTTTTTTTTATTTTTTAGCTTTTTTTTTTTTAATTTTTGAGCCTTGATTCAAAAAGGTGCGTGCCTCGCCTTGCGCCTTGTGCCTCTGGCGCAAATTGACCCCTGCACCTTGTGCTTTTAAAACACCGACTATTATTGCTAAGTTGGTATTCTTAGTAAAGTTGTTAATATTTTCACCCACTGATATTCTTTTTGCCTGAAAATAAAGTTGTCATCATCATAATCACTGTATCTCCTTGATGTTCAAGGAGTATGAAGTAAAGCGGGACTACATTGTCAAGATGCTGGTTGGGCTTGGTTTCCAGATACATTTCAAACCCCAGGGCTCGATTTTTGTGTTTGCAGAGCTTCCCAAGAAGTGCCTACTTTCTGATGTATGTACCTTCTCAAACTGCCTTTGTTTCCTATGGTTATTTTCATCATGAAGCAAATTTATCATAGAAGTAAATGAACCTTTTATATATGGTCCCGCTTAGGATGACTTTTGTCTCATTATAACGATACAAAACGTAACATCTCTAGGAAATAATTTGGGCCCCTGATGTTACATGGAATTTTATTAATGAGAGATTGCATTTTCAAGTCAATTTTTCTTAAAATAAATTATGGATATTTCCTGATTTTGAAGGTTCCTGCACGGCTGTATGCTATATTGGTAAAATATGCAGCATCACAAACCTAAGCAAAATACTTCACCTGTAACTCATTATTCATTTTCCTTTACCCACTAATGCTATTTTTTTTCCAGATAAACCACACTATTGTTTCATGGAGTTGGAGTGTAATAAGCCTTGTTTAACTTGAAATAACGATCTTTCTTAGCATGGTGCATAACTGATTCCAACTAGCATGTTACTTCACTCACGGGATGCTTAAATTACTTCTGTTTCTCATGAATAGTAGTTATGCTACACCCTTAATGACAATTTTCATTTGGCACATCTGATCCACCATCATGAACGGATGTTCTTTTGAACATACTGCTTTGCATTAAATCCTTATTTTGTATGTATATGGCAGAAATTTCCAGTTGTGGTTTATCTGTCTCCATGATTCATTTACTTTCATTAAGCATGGCTCGTCTAGACATTAAAACTGTCAATTTTCATTTTCTATGCTGATGCTTCCATTTTTTTTTATCTCATACTAATTAATTTCCAGTTTGAACTTGTATCTTTGGGTTTCGATTTCCAACTGTTATCATGTAATTGAAAATGTCCCACGGGTATGTGGTTGCCCAAAAAAGTACCATTTGGAATTTCAAGCATGATGATAGTTATGTCAACATAATAGTACAGTATGCCTTAATCTCTTTATGAAAATGGTTAGCAAGTTTCTTTGATTTTTCTAGTATTTACATCCTATACAGTCCTGTATGGGCATCTTAATAGGAAAAATAAATTCATATATATGATTAAAAATATTTTCCAAATAATCATCTATTCTATTTTTTTTTTCTAAAACAATGACTAAAAGAAATGGATTCAAAATAGCGAACAGGAGCCATAATCATCCTTGACAAGAACCTTGGTTCCCATGACCAAGCAATCACCATTCAGAAAGCCCATAGCTAGTGATAAAGCAGACTGAACCACCAACAGTGTCACACTCCTATGAGCCATATTCTCAATTCCACAATAGATTTTTGAAAATTCCTGAATTAGAATAGAGGATAAAAGGAGAAAACCACTTGTGGGTCACCAAGTAAAAATGAACTTTGATAGAAGTAGCATTGGAGATTTGGGACCTCCTGAGAGGACTGAACTTGTATTTAGGTCCAGTTGGTTATGGAGACTCTAAGAGCTGAGTTACTAGCAGTCCTGCAAGGACTGATATGGGCAAATCACTTAAAAAATAACAATATCCAAGCATTATGGCAGTACAGACACACCGTGGGGGAAATTGGATATTTGGCGAGGGAACCAGATGCAACATTTCATTGGGGTGCAATATGCAACTCAGTCAATGGTTTAGCTGTTGCATTGGCTAAACAAAGGGTAATATATTTGCTAAGAGTGGGTTAGGTGGAAGGATTTCCATCTTATACCTAGGGATATTTAGCATATTGTACATACATCATTCTTTTTAGGATCTAATAAAGCTTAAAAGCTATTGATCAGAGAGAGACTGATGCAGGAGCTGAAGAGTTAAAATTGGAATTTGGTGATATTTTATGTATTTCTGTATTTTTGGACAGTAGGGGTATTTTTGTCATTTTGCAATTTTCTGTGGGGTCCAATGATAGGGCTTAAATTGTCTAGTTATAGTTTGGTTATATTTAAAATTTCAATCATTGCATAAGTAGGATTAGAGTTATTGAGTCTTCTTTAAATTGAAATAGGATATGACAGCTTAGTTTGAGTCCTAGGATTATCGAGTCTAACAGTTTGACTCCTAAGACTATTATGAGTCTAACAGTTTGACTCTTAGGATTATTATGTGTTTAGAGTCTATATATGTGTGGACGTTTTACACAAAGGCAATGAATTATATTGAGTTTTCTTCAGCTTATGCTAGCTATGATGAGTGATTCCCATGCCCTAGAGTGATCACCCTGTGAGTGATTTCAGGTATTTTCTCTCTTCTTTCTCTCCCTATTTTCTCGCTTATTCCTTCAAGAAGGCAGTACAGCCATTGACAGCCATAAAACTCTGATCAAGAAGACCATTCAAAGTTATCCAAGGACTATGAGCTGGTCCTACATCAGAGACCCTGCTATTTCCCGTGAAGAGCTTGATCACAGAGCTGGCTGAATAAAAAGAAAGTTGAATTTATTATGCCAACTGTCAAGATATTCTTTAGCTTCAGTGAAATCAACATGATGCTCTTGTGCCTTTTTGTCCCTTTGGTCATTTTGATAAATTCTTCTGGCAAACAAAAGTTTTCCAACACCCATAGTTTCCTTCCTTCCATATACAATGCAGCCAGCTTAAGTGACACTCCCTTAGCTTTGCTACATAAAGCCAAATTCACAAAAGTGATTACATAACCACCTAATTTCATCTAGCCAAGAGATACTTGAAGAAACTTTCAAAATAGAGTAGACTTGAAATGGAAGTATAGGTGATTATAATCTTCAGGTGCGAAATGACAAAATAGGCAAATAGATCTAGACTTAGACATCATCAGTCCAACACCAACTACTTAGCTGATAATTGAGTAGGATCCTTCAGGTGAAGGAATCTAACTACTTAATCCCTTACTTGATCTGCATACAACCAAATAGGCGCTGACTAAGATCCAGGACAGTGACATGCCAATTTCCATATTGGATTAAAGACTGAATCACACTATTGTGAGGTTGATAGGTAAAATAACATATACACATCTTAGGTGTCATGGATCTAACCAGAGCTTTATTTTACTACCATTAGCAATAAGATGAAGAACTGCACCCTCGGCTAACTCCCATGGACACCATACTCTTGCACGGATTGCAATTATCCTTACCAGCCAACCTGTCGCACCTGGGGGGATATGTACGATGGATCCAGCTACCTCATTGACATTATGAGATTTTCTTAGCATCTAGGTGCAAAACATGGCAAAGAAGAGCAGAAATTTCCAATCTACATTCCTGAAAAAAGGTCAAGACAACGTTCATTTTTCAGAGTGCAGACCTTAGGCTACTCAGCACCATGGATCTTCCCAGTCAGATAAGCTTTTTGGGTATCACGCAATATAGGGGATTCAAGGGTGGGGATAGATCAGGATGCAGTTCCGTGGATTTGATCCTGTGCCTCCATTTTTGGGAGGGACACCGAGTAGCCATCTCACTTCTGGTTCATTGGCCATTCAGATCAACTCAAGCCCATAGAAATCAACCAAACCTTTTCAATACTTACAGATGTTAGCCATAGATTGTGTATCAATTATTACCTTCTATAATTTTCAAAGCAAATTTCTAAGAACTTATTATCTTACATCACTCAAGTACAACTTACTGAGTTATTCTGACATACTGTACAATATATGTATTGTCAACTTAGCTGGTGGTTTGCTATATTCTTCTCGAGAATGATTGAACTCTTTGCTTAGTATTTAAATCTTGATTTAGTGATATATCTGATGTTGAGCTACTTGCTATTCTAGCTTCTGTTTTAATGTGTTGTGGGATTTTAATTGATTATGAGATAACCTCTTTTCTTAACATTTGCCATCATTTTTTTCTTATGGATTTAAAATACATTTTGTGCTTTTCAGATTGATTTCGCTTCAGAACTAATAAAACAAACAGGGGTGGCAGCTGTACCTGGATGTGGATTTTTCCATAAGAATTTGCATTCAAATGAATTATCTGAGGATAATCAATCATATCAGAATAGATACATTAGGTTTGCTTTCTGCAAAAGTGATGCTACCTTGAGAGATGCTGCAGAAAAAATGGGTGAGTTTGTGGATCACAACGGGCATCTCAAGCTCTTTCATTCTCTTTGATTCCTTATTTTTCCTTTTTGAAAAGTCTCTTTGGTTCCACTGAAGGACAAAGATAGTCTCTTTGACTCTTATATGACAATTTGTTCCTTGAAGCACATATGAAATTTACCCTTTTTGTTTCTGTTTCACCTTTTATTAGAACATTGTGTTAATTGTGCACTAGACAACTAAATAACAAAGTCACGGAACACAAGTTGGCATTGAATGGTAGTGCTAACGCGCTTAAGAGGAATATATAGTGGTTAAAGACTTAAAGTATATATACTATATCTCAATGGAGACTGACAAATTGCTGGTTAACTTGTTGGGTTTACATAGAAAAGATTGCACAAATATCAGAGAATAAAAATAATGTTTTGAAAACCAGACGGGAAATGGTAGTTAAACTTAAATCAGAAACCAGAAACCAAAGGGGTCCTCAGCAAGGTTCAATGTGTTAATACCAATATCGCAAAGAGTATAGGAAGGAAACTGTAAATCCAACAAATGCTCAGAGCACTAAATCTAAGGTTCAAATGACTATAAATGAGGTTGAATGCATATGATACACATTTAATAGTTTCTGTGAAGTATGAATTACCAAGACATACTTGGAAAAGATTGGGGAAATGGTGAAATGATTAAGTACGTGAAGATCCATTTTCTTTCTACATTCCTTTTCTGGTTGATATGACACATTGACACTAAATTTTTAAATACCAATTAGTAGCCATATAACTGACATATATGAACATTTAGACGGAAAGAGAAAGTTCAGAAATATAAGAACATCATACTAGATTTATGTTTGGTGGATTGTGTTGTTTAAATTGAAGGTGGCTAAGCAGTTAAAACCTATGTTGTTTCTACATGTAGTATAATTTAGTGGTAATTCTTCCTACTTGCCACGTGAAGAGCTTCGGTTTGATTCCTAACAACATCATAATTGAATTTGAATTTGTAGGTGGACTTCAAATTGAGGCTTTAGTTTGTTTGCAATGCCGATTTCATCTGCACTGGTGCATAAAATTGGAATGCAAATTAAAATATATTGACGATTCAAATTTTACTTTGTTTTGCTTGGTTGCAGTGTTAGCGTAAATGAAGTAAAAAGAAGTAAAACTCGAAGCAAAAAGTGAATCTTTCTTGACTTACACTCTTATGCAATTTGTACTGGTGCAAATGAAATTTCACTACAAGCAAATGGAGTTCGAGTATCAATATTGGTTTTTATCGGCCAATACAAATTGATACGTTGCTGATACTGTTGATAATCCTACGTACGAGTGGAGTGGTATTGAAATTGAACTACTACAAAACTGAATCACACGTCTCAATTTCTTGTCTATTCCTCTCATTTGATTTTTCAAAAGGGTAGAGGACTGTGGTTGTTAAAAACTTCAAATGGTGGATGGTGATGTTTTATATATAAGGGTAAACTACCCTGAACTTTTCATTTGTGAGGAAGCCCTGAACTTTCAAATGTGTCTGTGATGGTGGAGGGGAGGCGGGACTGGACCCGTGCCGGACTGAACACAAAACCTGACTCCATCAAGCTGTAGTTGGGATTTGATAAGCAATGTGAGGACTGGAGAGAGAGAGAGATAATTTGGACAACTGCAGCCCTAATTCTCTCCCTCCGGGTGCGCTTTTATTTATTTATTTATTTTTTTTATTTTTTTTTGGGGGGGGGGGCCGGGAAGACCCATTGATAGAGTGTAGAGATGTAAATTGGGTCATGCTGGGCTTGGGGTTTTAGGTCCCCGGCTGGGCCGGTACAGCCTGCATTCATGGCCAGTGGGCTAGCATGGCTCATATATATTTTATATATTTATATATATATATATTTATATATAATACATAATATTATATAAATTATAATTATATAATAATATATAGTATAGAATATATTAATAGGACAAATTTTTTAAACTACCCCTAAGGTTTAGGAAATTGATTAACTTTATTCCTACTGTTTCACTATGTTTTAAAGTATCCCTATTGTTCCTGTCAATTGTCACACACCTCCCTTCGGGTCAACTCTCTGTTAATACCATTTGATTTAATCTTACATAATATTGAAACTACCCTTTAATGGTCGTAAATGCCCTTTTAACTTATAGACAAAGAGGTGACAGCCAAAAGATGTTATGGTGGTCTCGTTTGGTGCACCCACATCAAGGAGCCATGTGAATAGCATTTTGGTCTCTGGTCTGATGCAGATTAAGGGTATGGGATGTTGTGGTGGTCTCGTTTGGTGCACCCACATCAAGGAGCCATGTGAATAGCATTTTGGTCTCTGGTCTGATGCAGATTAAGGGCATGGGAGTGACGATGGAAACCATGGGTTGGGAACAATGAGATTTGCGGTGTGAAAAGACATGTTGGGTATCGACGTCCCTGAATAAGGAGTAGGGAGGAGGGAGGACAGGAGGGAGGAAGTAGATTTCTCGTGTGAACATGCATTAGACCATCAAACCCCAACAAAAAAGAAAGAAACCAAGGAGGGAGAAGGAAATAAGGCTATTTTGGGTTGGGAATAATGATGGAAAGGAGGAAGAAATAGGGTTGGAAAGGAGAAGGAAGGAGGAAGGAGGAAGGAGGAAGGAGGAAGGAGAAAGGAGGATTTCGACTTGCAGATGTTCGATTAAATGCCTCACCACGCTCATGCATCAGCTCCGCCTCTAGCGTAGCATGCCCAGTCTCGTGCATGCCCATGCCCATGCCCATGCCTACGCACACACCTGCCTAGCC